ATAAGCACTATAACTTAGTAAATGAACATGTGAAATTGAAAATGAGGAAGACACATAGAAATAGCTTGGACAATAAAAAATATTAAAGCAGGCTAAACGATATGCCCTCTATCGAAACCAGTGGCGGAATTACATTTATTCAGGAGGACATCTGTGATATTACTTCCCAAAAAATTATAGTAATATATATGTACAATAACAATAGTTAAGTGAAATCTCATGATCTGGGAAGGATAGTGTGCGCATATCTTACCCTTGCTTCGGGAAAGTAAAGAAATTGTTTCTGATAAACTCTCGGGTCACGAAGATGGAAAGAGAGAGTGGAACAGTAACATCAAAAGAAGTCAGAAAGATAACACCAGTAATATAATAATAAGAAAATAGAAAAGTACAGTCTGGTGCACTAAACTCCCGCTATGCGCGGGGTCCGGGAAAGGGTCAGACCATAAGGATCTATTGTACACAACTTTACCATGTATTTCTGCAAGAGGTTGTTTCCACGGCTCGAACCGAAAAAATAAAAAGAAAAGCAATAACCAGAAAAAATTATACTATATATGTAATTAGGTAAAAATTTTAATTACTTAAATATATTAGTATATATTAAATTTACTTGATTTTTTGGATGTTTACTTTTTAAAATATTGCTTTCCTTAGTGAAAATTTTGATTGGGCCAAACATCAAAACCATTAGTAAGTGTTTAGAAGATAAGCTTGAGGAAGAACAAATAAGTAAGAATATTTTATACTCCTAAGCAAAATATGGACAAGAGACTTCTACCCCTACCCCATCCGCACTTTAGGGCGGATTTTGATATTACCTTGGAGGCATCTTGTCAATATGCTTTTTAATCAATATCTGTTCGAGAAAAAAGGGCAATCTGGTATATTAAGATTTTGCTATGGAGGTTCAAGCAAAGACCGGATTATAAGAGTTCATTGCACCCAACTTTATCTTGCCTATATCTACAGGGGGAAAAGTTCTAACAATTTCTTAACAATGAAAAAACGTTTTAATTATTTCTTGGTGATGCAAAAATTTCTACATATCACTTAAATAGTAATTTTCTTGGGTAAAAAATGGTAATTCTAGTTTCAACGCAAGGGTGTAGACTATCAACTGAAAACCTAATAGAGATGGAAGATAAATAGTGGGAGTAAGTTAAATTACACTGAATGTCCAAAAACTTTTACACCACTATTGAACAAAGTATGGACCTTTTACTGTATTATATAAGAAAGATAATTAATCTAGCTTATGTGCTCTCAAAAAATCTGGTATAAGTCCCTATAGTAGCATTTTTAGCCATTTCTTATGCCTATATCTTTTTATTTGTTAAATGTCACATTTGAGTACTTTTTAAAAGGAATCAAAATTAAACTTCCATACTCCACAGATAGGAGATACAAAATGGATTAAAATCCAAGAATGTTTGAGGGTTACCTTAAACAAGAGTTGCTAATAATCAAAGTTTCGAATGTTTAACATCAAATCAAGAAAAGGAGAGGACAAAGCAGTAAGGAGGGGTGGAATAATGTTGTCAACTTGAACAGTGTTTGGAGCCATGAAAGAAGAGCACCAGGTTAATAATATGGTTGGTCCTAAACTTGCAAAGTGAAAGTGACAATTGGGACCCCATTCATGTGCTATTGATTATTATTACAAACCTCATTTCCTCCCACATTTTTTATAGTAAAAGGAAAAATATATATCAATTTTCCCACTTCCTAATTTGCCTATATTCACCACTGTAAAATAACACTTGTAATAATAATGTTACGTTGATCTCCCTTTCATTACCATGTTTTTCTTCTTCTATTACCAACTTCGAAATTGTCTGCTCATAATACTATGAAAGTGTCGATTATAACATGACGTTATGATTTAATGACTCGATATGAAAGATGACCAGCTCTCTGATAACTATGCTAACCCCTCTTCCACCACACGAGTGGGTTAACTTTGCTTGGTAGGGAGATTGTGAACACGAAAACTAATAAAGAAAAATGAATTTATTTTACATGTAGAGACTTAAGACTCGTAAATTGTAGTATTTATTTTCTGTATATGCTTTAGGTGTCCAAAAATATATTTTTCTATCATGTTATTGTTTTCTTTCTTCTCTTTTTGGTTTCTCTTAGGTCAGGAAGGCAAGAAAAATGTTTTAGACAATTCAGAAATAGGACAGTCTGGAATGAAGGACAATTATAGGCAGACCCAGAGATCTGGAACCAGAAATCTTCTAAAAGTATACCCAAAATTAAGGCTTTTACATGACAAGACACCTAAAAATCTAGTATCCTCAACAGTAATTAGAAAATGATAGTTTGGATTAGTCTTCTTTTTCTGCATCTGGACACCCAAAATTCAAAGCAAAACAGACCGATCATATTCTCCACAATCAGCATCTTGCAAGCTGAAATCAATATTCATGTAATCTTTCTTGCTCGGGCTCTTTAAAAATGTATTTTTTATTGATATGAGCAACATAGCCTATAATTCCCCCTATATTTTCTTCTCTATGTTCAATTTGGAGAAAAATTCAAAATTTTAGGAGGCTGAAGACACTGCATACCTCTACACTAGACTATTTTACATCCTATATTCCATTCCATTTCCTCTCAACCAAGCTATTCTAAGCCTCCCCAGCTCTCACTTTCAATTGGTTTAGAGGTCATTGAGGTAAAAGCTATTGACATTTACATTTAATAAGGGTCAAAGTAAGCATGTGCAGAAGGGAACATGCAATCACATCAATGTAATGCTTGAAATAGTAGCTAAACAATTTAGCTTCCACAAAAATAAAAATAAAAAAAGAGAGAGAGAGAGAGGGAGAGAGAGACCTCCACCTCAAAATTCTAACGAGAAATGACAGCTCTGTTTTGAGGAGTCGCGTAACGTTATTCACTTCTAAGGACGAACTCCTCTTTATAAGCACATTCAATGCACAAAATCAGACGAAGAGTCTGTTCTTTAACCGAAGAGCAAAAAATGTCTTTATCTCAAACTAGTGAATAGACAGTATGATGAAAGATAAGGAGAACTAGTTAATCTTGTCTGCTTAGAGATCTAATCCCTACACATGACCACAAGGGTGGCTCAAGGGGAGGCTAGTAAAGATTCTGCCTCTAGGTCCCAAAATTTTGAGGCCCCAAAATATTTTAATAATATATTTTATTATTATTTTAGCTTAGATAATAATGAAGTCTATAGATTAAAGGGAAAAAATAAATCCTTTAATTTTAAAAGAAAGATTATCTTCTTTTTAACACTAGAAATATTTTAGAATTGTAAGTTAAATTACTCAAATCTTCATATTAGTAAATAAAGTTTTTTGCAAAAATATTCAAAGTAATATATGACTAATATATTATTAACATAAATTAACCTTCACTATAATAATAATAATAATAATAATAATAATAATAATAATAATAATAATAATAATAATAATAATAATAATAATAATAATAATAATAATAATAATAACAACAATAATAATAATATTACTATGTGAAGTTAAAGGCTTAATGTCTTTTAAGACTACTATCCTATAAGAAAAAATGCAACCTTAAATTTTTGCATATTTGCATTCAACCAAAAATTTAAGTCCTCTTATTAAATTTAGCTTTAGGCCACTAGTTTTATTCGGCCGCCCTTGCATGGCCACAAGCATCGATCATCATAACTTTTTTTTAACGAAATATTGTACTAGAACCTTAGAAACTCTTGTAAAGATTAAACAATAAAGGAGACTTCACAATTACATGCAAAATGTTGTTTTCCCCAATTTTGATGCTGGCAATATTATCATCAACATGCATATATTGATGACCTTAGTGAATGGTTCATAGGTATACATGGTAACTATAATGAGCCTATACTATAGTACAAATGTAGTATTCTACGCAGGCTTGATTCACCGGAATTTTTGCTTCAAAAAATGCTTTCAAGCTAGGAATTAAAGCATGGATAGCTTTATTTGATAATTAGCTGGAAGTCGGGTATTCCTATTCAACATAAACTAAGGCGATGAGTAAATCGTAGATTGCCGGGTATGAATTCGATTCTAAGTCGGAGAATGCACATGAATAGGGTCTTATTACAGAATCCGCAATTTTGAAAGTAGCCTTAGAAAGATCATTGCTAAGAAGAGAGAAGTGAATTTCTTGCTAATCAGGTGCTATCATCGTATTGTAATGATTGTTCCTTGTTCAACCCAAATTTTTTGTTGCACTGTACTTGGAAAAATCCTTGGTGGGGCTTGAAAGAAATAGGTGAGAAAGGCTTCTGCATTGCTGCTGTCTCCACTTCTGGACCATTTAGTGCACCGGTGGCGTGCTTTTTTGAAAGAAGTTCATCGATACCCAAATCGATTGTATTGCCCTCACATCCGCTTACAATATCTAAATGCCCCTCAGTTGAATTAGACACCTCAGTTGAATTAGACACCTCAATTAATGAATGGCTAAACAATTTCAGCTATCTGTTCTGGCCCTGACAAATGAGTACTAGAGTAACCTTCTCGCTAGTTCTTTTTCCTTTTTAATCTTACAAAACAAATTATATTTATTCCACACTTCAAGTTGCAACACACCCCTAATCGTTTTCTTTTTCTTGAACAAAGTACGTGAAAATATGTTATAAATGGGTAATAATGAAACTCACACTTGCTTCTAAACCTGGATTCACTTAAATTGCTAAAACTATATCTTCCTAGCCATACCGGTAATTGTATTTTGTATTAAAGATGAGGGAAATAGAGTGAGAGGAGGGGTGAAATTTGAGGTACAAGCAAGACATCGGTGAAATTTGAGAGGTGTTACAAGCAAGACATCGAGAATATACTCGTTCTAATTCTTCTGAAACAGATAAAATGGCGGGGATTTTAATAGGTGGGATTCCAACTAAACAATTGACTTATTCGAAGACAACAAATACTTAGCTGTGGTGAAAAGGCTTTAAGCAGCAAAAAGGCAAACTCGCCACTTGGCTACTGTGGTCAAACTCGTGTTCAGGGTGTCATATAAAGCTTCAGTTTACATATGCAATTTACATAAGATAACTCTTGTATATAAAATGAATGACATTGAACTTCAAAATTGATTTCACAGTTAACTGGACTAACAAAAGAATACATTACACAACATGCTTTCATCCCCCGAGTGACAACAAAAGAAAAACCTACCATTGCAAAGGGCTTGAATCGCCCCTCTAAAATCCCTAGTAAGTTGAAACAAAAACCACCTGGCACAAAACAGTTATGTCCCAAAAATATGTCTGTGAACAGGTGTAGCATCAAAATTTTTAACCACTTGAATCCAAGGTTTGTCTATGATCAAGGTAGAGGTTTTTGAAAGATGTCCAACAAATAAGACAGGATCTCTGAAAGGATGAAACTCAAAATTCTTTTTACCATTATGTTTACTCTCCAACTCACTGACTTGTAACTTACGCTTCAAACTTCCATTCACAAGACTACTATGTAGCTTCTTCAATGATATATCTTGATCGTTGGCTAAGTCAGCCTCATCATCACCACCCACTGGCTTCCCAAAGTCGATCAAACACATTGCCCTGTAGGATAAATATCAGCAGATGTTATTATTTTAGTGGAACTCAGAAAACTTTTATTGCCTTAGTAATTGATGTGACATCAATATTGCATGTCAATTGCAATTGCAATGAACAGGTAAGCAAAGTGTTGTAGCATGCAACAAAATACTGGAGAAACATAGCGTCACATATAGTTGCTGATTACTTTGTGTTTCCAGCCATTCAATAAGCTTTAAGTTTAACTTGAACAAGTATTTTAAGGACGTATACCCATGTCAGCCTCCTCCCCAAAGTAGAGGGTAAAAAGAAAGAAAAAAACTCAGAATACCTGCCTTTCGAAAGCACAGATTACTGGTACATGCTAATAAGCCACGACATATGCAAAAAATCAAATCTTGCAACTCAAAAGAAGCCCATATAGCGCAAGTATTTTTAGCAAATCCAGCTTGTGTTACTTTTCTCAGGTAAGTGTAATTCCCATAATAAAACCCTCTATCGGAATTACGGAGTCACTTTGATTTTTAAAAGGTAATGATCAAAGTGACCATTATTATAAATATCTGAAGTAAAAGCATCAAGTTTGTCAAAAAACTGTAAAACATACCTTGGACTATAGACGATGACAGATGATGAATTGGAAGGTGGGAATGAAAGCCCAATCACTTCTCCAGGAAATTCTTGATATCTTCTCGGCAGGGAAAATGTATTACGACTTGACCATTCCCCCAACTGTTTAGCTTCAACATCTAAGGCATATACCTGGTTGGACGAAGTGGATACTATAAGCACATTGCTATTTTGAGGAGCAAAACCACCTGCCATAACTGAATGACCATCCAATCTTGATATAAACCAGTGTTGCCTGCTCCATGACAAAATGCATTCAGACCCAAAAGAAACAAGAGAGTACAAAATGATGACGGGAATAAGCATATCCTTTCTAGAAAGTTGAGGTATCCCGTGGAAAGGAAAAGAGTTTTTCAAAAATATCAAACGCAAAAAAGGTGAAATCCTAAAGGATCAAAGGGAAGATATACTAGACGACAGATTAAATACATGCAGGAAAGGATGTCCAATACCTCTGTATCTCTAGATTAAATATATATACATCTCCAAAGCAGTTGATAGCAGCTAGCCATTGCCCATCAGTGCTGGTGAACAGTCTAGTTATGGGAGGTTCAGCCGGGAACAGTTCTTCAGCATATTCTTTATGACGAGGTGTAAAAACATAAACTATCTCTGAGCTTCCTACATCCACCACCTAGAACACAAAAGCTGTGATTTCAGGAACTATCAAGCTGCAAGATTTGATGGCTCAGATATATTGATAGTCTAAACAAAAATAATCAATTCAATTCCTCAGATTAATTCACAGCCTAAATATCAAACAGTTCCTATAAGCAATGGTCATTGGAGTGCACAGAAAGATATTGATCCGCGGAACTGCATCCTCTTATTAAAAACCATACAAAATTAAAATTTCAATTAGCTCTCACATCTGACATCCACGTGAAAAGAATAGATCAACACCATAATTAAATGGAGAATATGACAAGTTTCATTAAAGACCATGCCCTTACCCACCAACCACAGCCACCGTACCCTCCCTATTCACCAGCATCTCATGCTTGCTCCCCTTTTTCCTATCCATTTGCCCACTACTTCAGCCTCCCTCCAGTAGCAATCTCAGCGATTCAACCAAGTTCCATGACCTGATTCCAGATTTCCTCCCTTCATTATCCCCTATGATGCAGTTTGGTGCTAGGATGGCAAGGCAGAGGAAGCCATAATAAAGTAGGTGGCAGGGTTCAGTGATGCGGGATTAAACAACAACAAAGGTGGTTAGCTCTAAAATCATGATTCTTAACAAAAGGTTCCCAACCTTAGTAAGATCCCTATTGTCCTAAAACTTCCTAAGAATTTCTTAGTAATGCCAAAGGCTGCTGGTAAGTGAACTCACTGCAACTTACAAGTTGAGTAAGATGCAAAATGTACAGTTATTTTTTTAAAAACATACAGTAGAAGATAAATAAAAAAGAAGATAAATTGGACAAAGAAGGTACTGACGTAGACCATTCTGTCACACCCCGCTATCATCAGCCGAGAAGAATCAGCACTGAAAACCATTGAATGGGCAAATGGCAGTTCCAAAGGGAGATGCCTTTTGTTGACTGCCCATGGACTCTTGCTGGCAGCATTTCTCTTAAGCTCAAGAAGGCTGGGTTTAACATGATCAGAATAAGCAAAAAAGGCACCAGAAGGCGAAATTGCACTGCATGTAATTTTCCTTGAAGCTTTACACTTAACTCGGGCGACCAGATCTGTCTTGGCAGCCCCAGCAGATGGACCACAGCTGTTAGACTTAACTCCATTTATTTCACGAACACACAAAATATCAATCCAGTACGACGCTTGGATTAAGAGTAACGAAGACTGATTGAAAATCGTATTTATTGCAAGTTGTATATGCGGCCTCTGCGGTGCAGGACAAATGTCATGTGGGGAAAACTTGGTAAACTCCCTCGCAGAGTATGCAAAAAGTTTAGTATCATCACCGCCTGAGATAAGCATCGGCACACCTAAATGTGCCCATTTATGGTAACTAGACTCAAGGGGGTTCGACCTAGATCGAGGTCTCTTTTCGTCCCGTTCAACTATGGAATCTGAAAGGAAAATGAAAAAAATTAACAATTTAACAGCATAAATACCAAATGGACTATATTAAGACGACTTTCAGCGAACAAAAATTTCAATTCAAAAAATGGGCAAAGTATCAACTTTATTTTCAAAGGAGAAGCAGAAAAGCACACAAATGAACTAACCTTCAGCACTGATGGGCACAGCAACAGTCAAGGCCCTCACATCATGTGTATGGGCCCTCACATGACTAACATAAACCCATTTCTTGAGGACTCCAGAGGTTATATTTCCATCATTAGCCCCGACAAAATCCATAGAGAGCTTATAAAGTATAACCTAAAGAACAGATGCGTGAGTTAGCAGCTACAAGAGCATGTTTTCCAGACATTTCTGAACAGTTATACACCGCAATGTTCACAGTAAAATATCAGAAATGATATTACTTCATAATTATAGAAGCATGGTAAGACCAAGACTTTTGCAACTGAAAGAAGGTTATGCAATAGGCAATAAAGCAAATAGAAGCAACCTTTATTTCAAAATTTAATTAAATAACTCTTTTGCTTTTCTCTTCACTTTCTTTTACCTTGAAACATTTACAAAACAAATGAAGGAAAGTTATCTCAAAGGACCGAAAACAAGTCAGAATCAATGCAAACTTGGCTAAGTATCGAACACAAAGAAACCAAATAATCCGTATAAGGCATACCAAATAATTTGGATTAAAGTAATTATCCGAGTAGGGATAACTGGAAAAGACAGATCTAAAAACATGTCGCGAAAGAGAAATTATTTAGTAGTGGAAAGAAGTAGACCTGTATTAAGCGGAATGGATATAGAGATTTCATATAGCCGACCATAACTGATTAGTGATTGAGGTATGGTTACTCGAGAAACTAGAAATGATGAGAGTTTAAATGGGCAGTCAAGCCACTCAAGAATCAAAGGCTTCTGACATGTTACTTTTTCAGTTTTCACAAGCCACTGACCATGTGTATTACAACTTAAGCAACTAAAGCACTACAACATCCTCCAAACCCATCATCATTTGTCTTTGAATCCTTTACTGGCATTTGCTAAGAGGATAGTACAAAAAAAAAAAAGCAAAAGAAAGCAGTCTACAAAATCAGAGAAGCATCCCTTTCTGCGCCAGGTAAGGAACAGTGATGTGAACGAAGACACAGCAGGACAGAAATGTATTGAGTTCCATTGCATACAAGGAACATCATTCAGATGGGTTTTTACATAACTGCCTGTGAATCCAAAGCAGTGCACTAGGATAAATTGAGTTGTGATCCTCTAATATTTGTTTTATTTTATAAGGAGAGTTGTCATCCTCTAATATTTGTTATCGTGCGACTGACCAATGTCTAAATACTTAACAGCGTTTGAATTAGATAAAGTTGGTGTTAGTTTAGTTTGCATTAGATTTTTTTTAAAACAATTCCAATTTGCTTTGGGTAACAGTTTTTAGGTTGTTTAGGGAGAAGTGACTTTACAACAACAACAAACCCAGTGAATTCCCACAAGTGGAGGGAGAGGCGACTTTGAGTTTGTTTTTTGGGGGAAATATCACTAAAGTCCAAAAAGAATTCTTTGAAGCTCTTAAATATGTGAAATGAACAAGAATAAACCGACAAAAACATCTATCGTTCATTCTACAAATAAGAAAATTTGGTTGAAGGTGAAAATTGTTGATGCAAAAAAGATTTATGGGACCAGAATGCAAGTTAACAAAAGCTGAAAATTCATTTTCTGCTTTCGTAGAGAGCGGGCACTACGTGGGGCCACTTAAGTCCATTCCATACGCACCCACTACTAAACAGTACTAGTAATGTTTGTTTTAAAACTAGTGGTTTTCCGGAACAAACACCACCTCACTATCAACTGGGCTAAAAATCAAAAGAGGCACAGCATCATTATCTTAATTTTGTTAGAGTTTTGCCCTGAATTTCTAATCTATTAGGACTCTCTTTCTTGAAGGAAGGGAAAAAGACTCCTAAAATAAATAAATCTTTTTCATATGTCTTGTCCTTTTCTTGGAGGAAAAGTCTTGAACACCTATAAATTGAGGATCTCTGCTTCTCAAAACAACGATGATAACAACCTCCACAATGTAGTCTTTTAGAGAGTTTTGTTTAGGGGTTAGGGGAGACTATTCTCTCAAAATTTATTCTCTTTTATATTAGTGATGAATCATATGTAGGTCGATTGACCAAACCATAATAAATTGCTATGCCTAGTTTAGTACATTTTTTATTTGTCGTCTGATTTATCGTCTATCAAGCTTTGCATTGTTAGCTTCCTCATGCACCTTGTTATTATAATCCCAACAAGTTTCAACTACTAGAATAGTAGGGGGACAACCCCCTCCAACTCCAACAGAAAGAGTTCATTTTGTAGGGGTTTCCATTTATATACCTGACCATCGGAGCCAGCAGAAAACACCCTTCTATGGCTGGGAGATGCTGCTAAAGCATTAACATCACCTTTATGATTGGAAAGGGCATTCACAAGAGTCCCATGCTTGGTGTCCCAGAACTGAACACTCCCAGTTCTATCAGCACTCACAAGGGTACCACATCTGGAAACAATGTGAAGTTAGAAGCGAGAAGGAAAATTGGAACATCTTACAGAACACTGTAACAAATGAGAAAAATGAATATCATTTCCAATTCAATTTTCACCTCAATGCAAGTAACGACCATATGCATAATTCAGATCCACTACCCAGACCTCCAAGACCAACTGATATCCTGTAGATTTCATGAGCAAACTTGGCATCCCAGCATCTTATAAACCTACAAAATAAGCAACTCTATCAGATAGTTCACTGTGTACATCCTATAAAACATAACTTCAGGGCTCAACCTACACTTGTGTCCTTTTTGAGTTTTCAGCAGACATCAACTAGTAAAAATTCAGCAGATAGAAATGTTAAAAATAGAACATACCCATCACTACTCCCAGAAAATATCCTACTTGCATCAGAACTCCAAGTGACACTCAATGCACGTCCTGCCAAAAAAAACAAAAAGATAACAACTCTATAATTCCAAGCAACAATCACATTTGTACTCTGACTCCTAAGGATAGCTGTCTCACCACTGACCCTTGGCAATGATCTTTTGTAAGTTAAGTTTTCGTCATCATTGACACAGTAGATTCTTACACAGCCATCATCACAAGCAAATGCTATTCGGCTATTATCACTAACAAGATCCTCGTGAAGCTCTATGGAGTCATCACCATCTTCGCTTTCACTGCTCTCACCATCACTGCTCTCGTTATTGCTGTGATTGACGTGGCCATTTTCATAAAGCTTAGGAGACTGCTTTTGATTAAGCTGTGGATTATTGCATGGTTCCACAGCCATCTGCCATATTGAAACACCAATAGAATCTAGAGCAATCTGCAAACAACCATAGCAAATAAAAGATTAATCGACTCACATCATACAAAACATAAAAACCTCTATCAATGATATAACATATCTTACATTGTGATGACCCAATCACAAGCATAAAGTGATTAGAATAATGATGAGCAGCACAACAAAATGCAAAAATCTCTTATCTTTCGTGGTAGTCAATTTTCACTTTGCATTCATTTCTATGCTAACAACAAAAAATAGGTTACAAGGTTTCATTTTTCATTGTAATTGCAAGTCTATTGAACCCTAAGCTACTTACAGGTTATCAAAACTTTTCCTTTCCTATTTTTGAATAATAGGAAATCTCCAGTAAAAAAGCAAAATTCAGCTCAAGACAATAAAAGCAAGGATTTTTCTTCACACACACCTTCTGTCTCAAATCAAAAAGGTCCCATTCAGAAACTGATCCATCAATGCTGGAAGAAAACAACCGACCAGCAGCCGAACCACCACTCGAACCGGACCGACACCAAACCAGTGAAGAAACCCTAGAATTTGGATTCCCGTGTATTGTCTAAGCAAACACCAATCAAATTCAAACTTTTAATTAAAACCGGGAGAGAAAACAATACATAAGCAATATATATAAGTATATATGTACGTACGAGCTGACAGTGCCAGCCTACAGAGCCAGGAGAAACGAGCCAAATCTCAAGAGAGCCGTCTTCACGAGCGGCAGCAACTTGAGAATCGTCGGCGCTGGTAGCTAAAGCTACCACCGGTGATGGCTTCCACTCAACTGAGCTGCTCCTATATACTGAGAGCATTTCCAGTCCTCAATATTATAGCTTTATTGAAGAGTTTTTGGGCTGATTGGTGAGTCTGTGAGTTATGGGCAATGAAGAAATTTTGAAGTGGAAAGGGAGAAAGAGAATAGGACATCAGCGCCGCTAGGTTTTTTCCTAAGGGTTTAAGCGCCGGATCCATCTGCTACAAACGGGTCTATCAAGTTTTTCTTATTTTAAATTTTAAATAATTAAGCTTCCCTTTCTCTTTTCTTTTTTCTTCTCCCTTTTAAGTTTTAAATAAATTGAATTAAAAAAAAAAAGAACTTGAAAAAGGCAAAAACATTATTACTTGATAAAATGCGTTTAATTATTGAAGATGTTATGGAATTGTTAAGCAATTACATTTTAATAATAATATTTACAAAAAGAAGGTTATGATAATTTTGAGAATTGAAATAATATGTTTTGAAATTAGTGTCTAAATTGTCTACCATCTTAATGAAACATTTACTTGTCTAATATTTTAAAAATGTTCTCCTGAATAGTCTACTGCATCTAATATTTCAGAAAATGTTCATTTCAAATTTCATAGAACCTTGCTTCTATAAACCCTCAAATTATTTTTTCGAACTGTGTTGAGTATCACTTGGGAAGAATAACAATAGAATTTTTTAACCAAAAAGAAGAAGAAAAAGAAGAATTTAAGTTGGACATAAACTAGACTGCCCAAAATTTTAAATATAAGGCTTTATTTAAATAGAATGGACTGCGCAATGTTAAATAATTTATAGTTGATAAAAATATTGTTGTCTTATCAATTTAGAACTTTAAGTCAACTAAGAAATGAGTTAATTATAATTGAATCAACTTAGAGTTAAAATCTTGCAATAAGCTACTCGTGTTATAACCAAAAAAAAAAGTGATTATCAATATTCTTTTACCAAATCAGTCAACTACTAATTGTTTTCAGCTTCACTATTTCTGTCCAAACAAACACATAATTGTTTACATAAGTAAAAAGTCCATTGTTTTTTCAGAAACACTCAAAAAGTATTTTTACCGCTTTGCGTTTAAAAGTTACTATAGTTCAGCTAATTCAAACGGGCTAATAATGCCAACGTTTAGCCCACTGCCACTTAAGTATCCCCAAACCATTTTAGCCATAACGCTTTAATTGCAAGGGAATTTTACCTTCTTATATTATATATAAAACTTTATTATCCTTCTTAATTAAGTTTTAATTTAATTACATAGTCATACACAATTTATCAATCATATACAAATAAATTTGTAATGAGTATCCCTTTATATTAGGAATTGAATAAAGAATATCAGTTATTTTCGCATCCTTTTATACTTGCACCTCTCTCTGTCTCTCCCCCTCTCTCTCTCTCTTCCTCTCTCTATCTCTCCTTCTCTGTTTTTTTCCTGTTTTTCTTCCTTTAATGTTCTCTATTTTTTATGTTTTTTGTTGTATAGAGTTTTAATGGAACTTATCAATGTATTTCAATCGTTTGACTATAGAGTTTTAACTTAGCAATTTTTTTTCATGTTGCACAATTGACGTTCGAATTAAAATTGTCAATCAATAAATTTTGAAGGTGTTTGATTCTCCACCATTGACAACCATTTAAAAGCTTCGAAGCTTTGAATTCGAATTTGGGTTTTCAAAAATTATTATTTGTTTGGATTTGGTGTTGTTGCAAACAATTGAGAATATTCTTTGGAGTTTATATCTCAATTTTGAGGGTGTTTGGTGAAGATTAGACTTAATTTTGGTCGAATTTCTGATTGAAAATCGAAGAAGAAGAAGAAGAAGAAGAAGAAGACGAACAACAACAACAACACATGACATACAATATACTTACGAAATTGTATTAAATTTGTATTATAGTTGTATGTAAATTGTATTTAAGTTGTATTATGTTGTAGTTATATATTTTTTTATTTGACTGTTGTATGAAAGTTAAAAAATAATTGTATAATGTATGAATCGTTGTAAGAAATTTGTATTTAAGTTGTAAATACTATCTTTTTACATAAAGTTGTTGATATGTATCAAAATTGTATTAAGAGAGAAAATTTTGATTGGAATTTTAGAGAGGAAGAAAAACACACCACATACAAAATATATATAAATCAGATACAAAATACATACAAAAGGCATATTGTATAAAATTTGTGTGAAATATGTATTTAAGTTGTATGATGTTGTAGATGTACTCCTTTGTCTTCTCTCTCCTTCTGCTTTCTCAACGTTCACTTTTCAAGCCACCACTGTCTATTCCCTCCCTTATGTTTCCGTCCAGTACCCCCCATCGGCGTAGTGCAGCCCAGGTAAGTTTCTCCCTCTTTTCCTTTCTTGCTTTCTCTCTCCTCTGCCTTCTCCCCCATTATGCTTTCTCTCTTTCTCTCTCCTCTTTCTTCTTCCCCTTTTCTCTATATATGGTCTTTCGGCAAACAACGAAACATCGTAGACCAAATTCCGGTAACCACGGTCCAAACAGGAACGACAGCGGTACCGAAAGTTTTCGTGAAGCCTGCATTTTTGCGTTGCATTTCTTCGGACCCTGCTAGGTTTGCGAGGGTAGTAGCGACATCCATCGTCGCTGGGGACATTAGGAAGACAATAAAGGCGTTATGTTCCTTCTTTCCTGTACTACTCTTTAATTTATTCGTTGTAATATTCTTGCTCTGTTTTTTACTTGTTAGTTAGTAGCATTCTTGCATTGACTTGAATTTAATTGCATTGCACCTCGGGTGTGCCCCAAGTCATATTCTCAAGTTCTATCATCGGGAGTTGGTACCTCCTGCTTTCCTGCTTCTCTTTGTTATGTTAGTTATATTGTTGTCATTTTAGTTAGCATTAGTTTAATTGTACTATTAGTGTGCCTGTAGTAATAATTTGTTATCTTCTAGTTTGGTCCGCTGCCTATTTTGTGTTAGTATTTTTCCTTAGTTTGTCATTGGTATAGTGGCTGTGGTATGGGATGGTATAGTAAGGTCATGTCCTCGGAGGGGAAGGGGGAGAGGGCGTGACACGGGGTAGGGCGATGGGAGTGGGGAAGGGATAGAGGCGGGACGGGAAGCAAGGTAGGTAAGGGGAATAAGGGAGCCTATAGGTTGAGGATAGGGTCATGGAATATTGGCACATTGACGAGTAAGTCTATAGAGCTGGCAAAGATTCTCCAGAGAAGGAAGGCCAGTATAGCTTGTGTTCAGGAAACTAGGTGGGTAGGATCGAAGGTGAAGGATGCGGACGGGTATAAGTTGTGGTACTCTAGAGTCAGGAAGGGTAAGAATGGAATGGGTATTTTGATAGATAGGGAATTTAGAGAGTATGTGGTAGAGGTTAGGCGGGTGAATGATAGATTAGTGGCTATCAAGTTAGTAGTTGGAGAGTGCACCCTAAATGTTGTTAGCGCTAACACACCGCAAGCGGGCTTGGATGAGGAGGTTAAAAGGCGCTTATGAGAGGGGTTAGATGAGATTGTGCATAGTATTCCGCCTGCTGAGAGGTTATTTATAGGAGGGGATTTCAATGGACATATCGGGTCATCTGATGGTGGTTATGATGAGGTGCATGGCGGCTTCGGTTTTGGGGATAGGAACGGAGGAAGAACTTCGCTATTGGATTTCGCTAAGGCATTTGAACTAGTGATTGCGAACTCTAGTTTTCCGAAGATAGAGGAGTATTTGATTACTTTCCAAAGTACGGTGGCAAAGACTTAGATTGATTATCTCCTCATCAGGAGGTGCGATAGAGAGTTGTGCATAGATTGCAAAGTTATCCCGGGCGAGACTCTCACGACGCAGCATAGACTCTTAGTGATGGACATCGGAATCATGATAAGGAAGAAGAAGAGGTATGTTCGAGGACGACCGAGGATTAGGTGGGGAGCCTTGAGTAAGGATAAAGCTAAGGAGTTGGAGGGGAGGCTATCAGCTATGGTAGCCTAGGGGGAGTAATGGGGATGCGAGCGCTATGTGGACGACGACGACAAACTATGTAAGGGAGGCGGCGAGAGAGATGTTAGGGGTTTTGAAGGGTCTCTCTGGCAGCGAGAGAGATGTTATGGGTTTTGAAGGGTCTCTCTGGCGGGCATAAAGGCGATTGGTGGTGGAATGATATGGTCCAAGTCAAAGCGGAAGCGAAGAAGGCGGTGTACTTGAAGTTAGTAGGGAGCTCAAGCGAGGAGGAGATGAGAGCGAACATGGAGAGGTATAAGGTAGCGAGGAAGGAGGCGAAGTTGGCGGTCACAGAAGCCAAAACTGCAGCGTTTGGCCGGCTGTACGAGGAACTGGGGACAAAGGCGGGGATAAGAAGTTATTTCGGTTGGCTAAGGGGAGAGAGAGGAAGGCTCGGGATCTGGATGAAGTGAAGTGCATCAAAGACGAGGACAGTAGAGTGTTGATGGGGGAGGCTCATATTAAACAGAGATGAAAAACTTACTTTCATAGACTTTTAAATGAATAGGGCAGCTGAGATATTATGCTAGGTGACTTGGCGCATTCGGAGAGCCACCAAGACTTTAGGTATTGTAGGCGCATTAAGGTTGAGGAGGTCGTGGAGGCTATGCGTAAGATGAGTAGGGGTAGAGCAACATGGCCAGATGAAATATCGGTATAATTTTGGAAGTGTGTGTGTAGAGCAGGTTTGGAGTGGCTGGCTGGGCTATTTATTGTTATTTTCAGAACAAAGAGGATGTCGGATGAGTGGAGGTGGAGTACGGTGGTACCGTTGTACAAGAACAAAGGTGATATACAGAGTTGTAACAACTATAGGGGTATCAAGTTACTAAGTCACACCATGAAAGTTTGGGAAAGGGTAGTGGAGGTGAGGGTGAGGAGGACGGTATCTATATCCGACAACCAATTCGGGTTCATGCCGGGTCATTCGACCACGGAAGCTATTCACCTTATTAGAAGGTTGGTGGAACAATAAAGGGATAGGAAGAAGGATCTGCACATGGTGTTTATTGACTTGGAGAAAGCATATGACAATGTCCCCATGGAGGTTCTCTGGAGATGCCTAGAGGTAAAAGGTGTGCCGGTAGCTTACATTCGAGCGATCAAAGACATGTATGACGGAGCTGAGACTCGGGTTAGGGAAGTAGGAGGTGACTTGGAGCATTTTTCGGTTGCTATGGGGTTACATCAAGGATCTGCGCTCAGCCCGTTCTTATTTGCCCTAGTGATGGACGCACTGACAAGATATATTCAAGGGGAGGTTCCATGGTGTATGTTATTCACTGATGACATAGATCTGATTGATGAGACGCGAGACAGTATTAACGAGAAGCTGGAAGTTTGGAGATAATCCTTTAAGTCTAAGGGTTTCAAGTTAAGCAAGACAAATACAGAGTAATTGGAGTGCAAATTCAGCATTGAATCGAGGGAAGCGGGCATGGACGTCAGGATTGGATCATAGGTCATCCCCAAGAGAGGCAGTTTCAAGTACCTGGGGTCGGTTATTCTGGAGGACGGGGAGATTGATGAGGACGTCACACACCGTATAGGGGTGGGTTAGATGAAATGGAGGTTAGCATCTAGAGTCCCGTGTGACAAGAAAGTGCCATTGATACTCAAAGGTAAGTTTATAGAGCGGTGGTTAGACCGACCATATTGTATGGGGTAGAGTATTGACTGGTTAAGAACTCACATATACAGAAGATGAATGTAGCAGAGATGAGGATGTTGAGGTGGATGTGTGGGCACACTAGGATGTATAAGATTATGAATGAAGATTTTTGGGAGAAGATGGGCATGACTCCTATAAATGACAAGATGCGGGCAATGAGACTTAGATGGTTTGGGCATATGCGGAGGAGGAGCCCTGATGCCCCTGTAAGAAGGTGTGAACGGTTGGCTTTGGTGGGAATGAGAAGAGGTAGAGGGCGGCCTAAGAAGTATTGGGGAGATGTGATCAGGTAGGACATTGTTAGGCTTCAGATTTCCGAGGACACGACCCTTGATAGGAATGTGTGGAGATCGAGCATTAGGGTTGTATGTTAGGAGGTAGTTGAACATTTTTTTTCTACTTCATTCCGGATGTGAGGATAAACTGATAGGGTTGTCTTAGATTTCTAGTGGTTTATGTTGTGTTCTCACTATTCTCTCGTTTTTCTTTACTGGTTATTGTATTGCGTTTCAACTATTTTTTGGTTTTTATAATGCTTTATTATTTCTATGGTTTCTGATGATGGTACTGATATGTTGTCTCTTTTGTCTTTTTCGTTTTCTTAAGCCGAGGGACTATCAGAAATAACTTCTCTACTCCATGGGGGTAGGGGTAAGGTGTGCGTACACACTACCCTCCCCAGACCCCTTACTTTTGGGATTTTACTGTGTTGTTGTTGCTGCTGTTGTTGTTGTTGTTGTTGTTGTTGTTGTTGTTGTTGTTGTTGTTATTATTATTATATATTGTTGTAGATGTATTAAATTTGTACAAAATTTATTTTTTAATTTGTAGATGTATCAAATTTGTACGAAATTTAATTCTTTCTAACCGAAAGAATTAAATTTACGAGCACCTTGTTAATACTCATACTTAATAGTACTAGTTAAAAGTCCCAATACTTAAAAATAATCCGTTACTGTCACCCTAATTAATAGTGATAAAAAAGAATTAATTTGAGAGATTAAGCTTTCTTTCTCTTGTCCACAGTTGCCATCTCTATGCTGCAGGAATTAAAGTGATTTGTTGGGCGAATAGAGTGAATTGACCAAGAATGAGTTTGCTATTCAAAACCTAGAGGTTTGGTTTTCAACCTCTCTTGTATTTTTTTTTGGTCTGATGAAGTATTAAATAATGTGAGGCATCTGAATGCACAAGGACTATATAGAAAAATCCTTGTGCCAGAATCTTCGCCCCTATTAATTCTTGGCAATGTACAGTGCTGTATACGCTAGTGACAAAGCACATCAGAGACTCTAATTTAGTGCCTATCAATCTCTCCTGTATTTGTATATATGGCTAAGTTTTTATTTTTGTTAACCTTCTACAGGAGAGAAAATAGGAAAATGATATAACTAAATTCCTTAATTTAAGGTATTAATAATGAATTGTATATAATTTGTAAGCAATTCATATTTAGGGCGGGTAATATACAAAACAAGAACAATTTTGGTAAATAAATTTTAAATATTATATAGGAAGTAAAAAATCCCTAATTGAAAATATGAGTTTCTTCCATCTCTTACACATAGTAAGACATTCTTTAGGCTTGTATTCCTGAAACCTTACAAAGTGTAGTAGCTTTTATCAACGTCTATCACCAGTTTCCAAACTTCTCAGGTAAAAACTACTCCCTCCCATATTATCATTCGTGATTACTAAAAATAGATATCTCAAATTATCCTTAATTATGAATAACTTTGTTCAAATACCAATGAAGAAAAATTAAATATTAAGACATGAATAAGGGTAAAGTAGTCAAAATCTCATCATAATTAATTTTTCTTAAGGCGCGTGTACAAAAGAATCATGACATATAATATGAGACGGAGGGAAAAGAACTTTGCCGAAAAACAATAAGCCAAGCCAAATATGCAGGGTATATCTCTTATTGTGCCGATGGTCTATCGGAAACAGTCTCTCTACTCCTCCGGAGTAGGGGTAAGGGTCTGCGTAAACACTACCCTCCCTAAACCCCACCTGTGAAATTTCACTGGGTTGTTGTTGTCGCAGTATAGGGGCTACTTAAAAAAAATACTTCTAATTTGCAGCATCCAAATGAACTATACAATGGGAATGTGTCAACTTACATTTAAAATAGAACTGAAACCACATATTTCAAGCGGTACATGTGTGGTTTCTGTGACAAATACCCTTTCTCTATTACCTTGTCTATACATGCTCTCTGTTAGTTTTAGAAAATGTACAAGTACAATTCTTCAGCAAGAATCAACTATCAATCAATTGTCAAGGCATGTTGATATCACCAACATTTTCTTCATTCTTGCTCTCCGTTTCTTCAACTTTCAATCTCTGCCAAATTGGAATAAAGTAGGGTGTAATTAGGCTGTAGATGACAATTTTTTAGATTGATCATAGAGTGAATTTTCAAAATACTACACTTTGTGTTTTGTTAGGTTTGGAGGATTAAGGTATTTAATTTGAGCTCACATTAGCAAAAATCTTTCAAGTCCAGAATGAATCATTAAAGGCTTGAAAACTCTGTACTTCTTCAGCTTCTTGCATAAATTTTTTTTTATTTTTTTATTTTTTATTTTTAAAATTATCCTCATTTGCTCTTTTTTTTCTCTCAACCTATGAATCATTACTACTTTTTTTTCCCACAGGTAGAAATCAAGCGACAAACCTTTGCCGCCGAAGAGTTCTCATTTGACAAGCGTGTGAACATTGTTGTGTAGAGCTTTGCATCTTTCTTATTGCTCTCTACTTGGAGTTGTTTCAGTGTTTTCTGTATCAGTTTCACCTCCCTGAGCAGCAGGAACTCTTTGATTCATAATAGTCAAGAAAAAATCTCCAACGATATTTTAAGTCATGAGTTGCATTACCTGTTCTGTGGATCAATTTCTAGGGCCTTCTTGATATCCAATTCTGCCAAGTGCAGATCAGCTGTTTCCATAAAAGCTTGTGCTCTCCTATATAATGCTTTCACATTGCAGGACTCAATTTCTAAGACCTACAAGCGATGAAAAAGGATAAGGATGAAATTAAGCCTTGCTTGCGTGGATTACAAATGCTTTTAATCAGCTAAACTTGCATCAAGCTTTTTTCGTTCTTCAGCATTTGAAACAGCTAACAAGAATTACATTAAAACGCAAAGGGAAGTACATAGCAGCAGGGATTTGAAGACCTACAACAGCTCCTGCTAGAGAAAGGGACGAAGGGAGAGAAAAGAGAAGAAACATAGTAAAACCATGACACTTTAAAAAGAAAACATATTTCTAGTCCAACATATATAGACAGAAAGTGAACTTGCCCCATCATGCATGATCATACTCTTGTCACACTACAAGAACCTGCCTATCCATCCAAGTTACATGAAAATAGAGTTGTTCGGTTACCTAAGTACATTACCTTGGAACATAGCTTAATTGCTTCCTGGAAATCATTTTGTTTGAGACAACAAGCAGCACCATTCAACCAGCATGACACTCTCAATGATTTCACTAGCCTTTGATCATCATCTTCAAAGGTTCTATCTTCATTAATATAATCAACAGCCTGAATGAAAAAAATCCAAAAGAAAAACGCATACAAATAATAAAGCGTTTCATGAAAAGTCGCATATTCTAAGCATTGATGACCAATTCACTGAGATACCTTCTCATATTTCTTCATTGCTCTTTGATACTTTCCGTTTTTGAAGAGTAGATTGCCCTCTTCTTTCTTCCTTTGGGACACTTGGATTCTCTCATGTTTATTCATTTCCCAAGGATCCTTTTCCTTGTCTCCCAAAAGGAGAAAGTTAGAACTTCGTAAAATTTGTATGTATCAACCCAAAATGAGTAAGAGAAAGAAATTTCGTAAAATGGTTTTATGCAGTATCAAAATTTTGCCATTAAAAGCTTATCAACTTGAAATGCAGGCATGTATAATGCATCTAATAACTTCTTTCCAGCTAGAAATATGTTACCACAGAAGAAACGAAGGCGCCAAATCATACCTGAACTATCACAAGATATACCAAATGAGAGAAAGGAGCTTTTGGTGAAGACAGAAGAGACTTCATGGATGTTCAGAAAAAGTTTTGTTAGTGGCTAATTTGTTCCCTAATGTGTACTAGGAAATTCTCACAAGTCTGAAAACTATTTGGGTCTATTTATAAGACTTAAATCTTGTCAAAAAGAAGAAAAAACACAGCAATATATCTACAAACTTAATTTATCAGTCCTAGCAATAATGTCTGTCACCCTATTGGATAATGTTAAAGTTTCTTCATATGCTCGATCCTTGCAAATTAACTACATTTTCCAAACAGAACTTTGGCCTACTTGTTTGGATCATTTACCTATCGTTGCAGTAGGAGTTCCACTCCTACATTTGCTTAACCATATGTACTAAGCCAAATATGTCTTAGCACAAAATAGACTTCCGTCAGATACCTTTGTGAACTCCAACATCTCAACTTCGAAAACTATGGTTGAGCAAGGAGGAACCATAGCAAGATCCCGCTTCACTTCAGTACTTCCAAATCCATAGTCAGGTTTAGCTGTCACTATTGCGTGTTCACCCTTCTTCATTGTAGTAACTGCTCGGTCCAGTCCAGCAATGACTTGTTCTACATGCAAAACAGTACAATATAATTATAGCAAGCCAAAAGTTCGTAGGCATAAGTGCAACATGTACAGAAGCATCATAAAAGACTTATGGCATATATGCAAGGTATCGTCATAGAGTGAATGCATACTACGGAAAATCTAATGAGTTTAGAGCTTTCAGAAGAAAGTCATCTAAGAATTGCACCTGATAACTTTTATTTCTAGTCAGAAGACCAAGAGCGTATCACAAAAACCTCATTTTAACATAACAAACGTTATTATCTTATGATTGTAAGGGTGGATAATGAGAATAAATATATTACATGCCTAATTATCACAACAGTAGGTATATTTCAGATTCATTTCATTGCACCGACCTTCATCAGTTGTAAACTTCAATGCAGCCTCTCCATCGAAGCCTCTTTTCTCTAGCAAAGTGCCATCCTCAAGCTTAGCTGTATATCTAACTGGAGATTTGCAGCAAAGACCAAGTAGTTAGTAAATTCTCCATACTCAAGCTGAATCTCATTATCAATCCTCAAACTGGACGCAAACTTAAGCTAATTCTGCTGGTTATGCTCCTCAAAATAGCAAAGCACATGTTTGTGCCTTTCCCAGAGCAAGATTAAGGTAACATTTCCATCTTTTCAGCCCCCTTTTCCAAGATGATGAAGGACACAGTCTACATTTGATGAAACGTG